CCATACTTTATTAGTTTTTGAGAAATTGGTACCTTTAGAAACAAACAAGATCAATGTTTTCTTAACATCTTCTCAATGTTTTCACTTAGCCATAAACTGAATTTTCTATATGTGAATGGGATTCTTTCAAGGGCTGTGCTTATTTGCACATTTAAATGAATAATGCTTGAGAAGCAATAAAAAGAAGAGACCTTTCTTCCCTTTCTGCATGCATGGGAGAGAAGGAGCCTTGCGGCATTCATGGTAATTACTGCCACAAACTCCTCGTGTCAAGTGCCTGCACAGAAGCAAGTTATCTGCCGTCCCTTTCCCTTGCTGTGTTCATCTGTCTTTCCTTATCTGTGTTCTTTCGCTGCCTCTCCTTCTGCATTTGGCGGCATGCTCATTTTTCAACCACTTTACCTTGGCACCAGTGACAAACCTACTCTTTTTATTTCTCTCCCACATCCAGGCTGTTCATCCAACACATTTCAAAATTCTGTTATTTCTTCCTGTTCCTGTCCTTAAAAGCTGTCACTTCCTTTCTGTTCCTGAAGCCAAAAGCCTCATCCTAATATCTTTATCTACAGGAACATGTTCTCTTCTTCTCCTCCAACATTTTTGTTCTCTGATTAAACCACATAAATTGGGAAGGTTTCTGTTTTCCATCCAAGAGGATTACATATTTTACTTTAAATTACTTCTGAATCAGCTGATATTGAATTCCTTCTGATCACCCTGGTCCTGCCCGTTAAGATGATTCAAATAGAGCCTCCCTCTGTCACATTTGCTTCTCCACACTGCTTCCAGGGCCTCATACAGTTTGATTATTGTTTTCATCCACAGCTCTGGCATAAACATTCTCACACTTTATACTTTTTTTTCATTGGTATTTCTTTGAGGTAGATAATATTTCCATCCCTTGTGGGGACTTGGTTCATGAGTATAATCTATCTTAATTCTTTTTTTCATATACTTTCCTTTCCCTCCCTTTCCTCTTCACCCATCTCTTAATTACTATCCTCTTTTGTACATGACTGCGGTGTATAATGTCTAAATTTCCAGGGTATATGCTTCTGAATCCATCAGGACAGAAGAGGATATATTGTGGTAACAAGCAATCCTTCAATTACAGCTGTTTGTAACAACAAAGGACAATTTCCACTCAGCACCAGCCTCAGGTAGACTCCTACCGTAAGTGCAAGTCTAGGGTCAACAGTAGCATTTGGTTAGTTTATGACAGAGAGATATGGGACTCTTAAACTGTCTGCTTAGAAGTGACAAAGGGTACTACTGCTCACATATTTTAAAATTAAGTACGATGACAGTCCCCAAGTTTGACGAGGTAGGAATGCCTGTTTCCTGTGTCTTCACTGAAGGCAAGAGCAGACACCAGTTTGGACAACAGTAAAATCATCTTCCAGATCTTCACAGCTGCTACAACCAAGTCTGAAACTTCTGTATATACTTTGATGAAAACAATTTGGTTAATCTGGAAACATGTATGGTACAATCTATCATCATTTCTCACATATGAGGTTGCCAATTTGTAGCATACATACTCTGGTATGTAAGTGGAAGTTGTGATGTCAGGCAAAATGTGTCTTGGACGTGTGAGGTCCAGGACAGATAAGAATGATAGCAAGAGATCACTGTAGCTCCATCAATCCAGTTGTTTACAGAAATACTTTTAGAAATCATTTTTTATTCAAAAGTAAGGGACAATGAAGCAAAGTGGGAATATTCTCTGCTTAAAAGACTAAACATATAGGAAGAATCAATTAGCAAATGCAGGGCCCCATTTTGGGAGAAAACATTGACTAAGTTCAAGACTTTTTTCTAAGAGAATTGATGTGAGATTCAAAGTATTGAAGTTCTCAATTGAATTTGAGAAGTACCAGGGTGAGATTCATTTTCACTGAACATGCAATTGCATTTGGATTTACTGATTTATTGATTGATTCACTTCTGTGAAGCTTTTTGTAACTCTGTTTTGAATAAATTATAAAAAGTTTAAATTCAGTATAACAGCTACAAAATATTGTGTTAATTTTAAGTCAGTTAACTTCAAAACTCATTTGTCTAGTGAGCCATAGTAATTCCAATTTCTTATTTGACATTAGATAACCATATCAGACAACCACAGAAGTCAATGTTATAGGTTAGAATTATTTTAATCTAAAACCCCAACTAATCCTATAAAATTTTTTCAACAATAACTGATATATATTCTTTCTCTGCTTACATTTCTTTTAGGGTTCTTGGTATATCACTTATCAACTGATTATATTATAAACAGTTCCGCTTTTTATAAAGGTCTTCCTATATGTTTACTTAAAGTTTACCTTGCTGAACTTTCTTGTCTTTTATCAAGTTCTGCACATCCAAAGAAATAAAATAGGTGCATTTCATCTTTTACATGAAGTGAATTCTAACCTTTCCAAATTGCTATAGTTTTTCTATTTTATTTCACTTTTCCCAAATAAATTATTTAAAATATCTATTTTCTAATAGTCAGGGTTGTAGATCCCTTAACGGCATCAAATTCATCCAGATGCTTTCCTTCATTTGAGAAAGAGTTATGTACTTTGTTCTATGAAGAATAATTCTGATGAGCACACAGAGCAGTCAAAGCCTGTTGTCTTTTGAAGCTCATAGTCTAATTGGAAGACAGATATTTAGAAATAAATCATAGGTTTTATAGAATAACGTAGGGTGATTCACGATCTGAAGATGAATTAAAATTTGCTTCAATCCATGGTACATAGAGCTATTATTCTTTACTGAATGTTATATTACCATGTCTAGTAGATTGATAACTGGTGGTCAACTTATAACCCCCAGTTGAACTGAGTGAGTGTGGTGATGGGTGTGGGAAGCCCACCTGAGGACTGTTGCTAGCAGCATAAGAGGCAGACCTGCAGAAGGAGAAGCAGACTGTTGGGAGCTGAGAGAGGTTGTTGGCAGCTGGTAGAAGCTGTGGGGAACAGTCTTTCCCGATGAACTTGGCTGTTTTCATCCTCCGAGGAGCTCGGGACATCGCTTGCACTGAGACTGGCTTCTGTTCACTTTGGGGAAGCTCTGGTCCTCACACTGAGCATCGCTTCCTGGTTCCCGAGGGGAAGATGGTGCACTACTGGCCTCCTGGAAAAGCTGGCTGCATTGGCATCCCTGATGGGAACTCGACCATCCTGATCATTGGAGGAGCTCGGGACCTCGCTGTTGCCGAGGATGGCTGTGGTACCTTTTGGGGGAGCTCTGGTTCTTCTGAGCATCACTTCTTTACTCCGGTGCAGATCCCTCAGCCTGCTAGCACAGGTCCTTCACCCTATTGGCACAGAATTTGCAGATTCCACCACTGACCTTTGGGCCTTCCCAGCAGATCCGTGAAACAGGTCTGCATGAGACGTTGTCATGGGCTCTGGGCCTCCAGTTGAATTCATGGGAGGCATTGTTATGAGCTCTAGGTATTCAGCTGGACTCATGTAGGACATTGTTGAGGGATCCATGCTCTCAGCTGGATTCCCTGGTCTTAGTGTGTGGACAGATTTCCTGCACTCTTCTGTATATTGTTCTTTGGGTGACTATTATAAATAATCATATAAAGTATGTGTCCTGTATTATGTTTCCCTTGCAAAAATAAGCACCAAACCAACACACCATGATTAATCAAATTTACATATAATATTTTTTCTGTCCCATTCTAAGAAACACTAGTATTCTCAGCAGTTACATTAAATTTGTGCCAAGTTATGTGATTTCATTTTTTAGATTATACTTTTATATAGAATATTAATGAATTTTTCTTTGTGCCTTTAGACAAGGAATGAGCCCTTGGTCTAGTTCCATATTAAGCAAGTGCTCTACCACTGAGCTTTATCTCTGTACTTTTAAATTTTATCTTCAAATCATATTTTGCTATATAACAAACAATACACTCCAAAACATAAATAAAATGCCAACAGGTTTTTCATATTTGATCGAAATTATTTCGATGGAATTTATGTTAAATTTCAGGTCTAGTACAACAGAAAGTGTGTACTGTGTAAGTTTTCCCTGGAAATCTTTGGAAGGTGTCAGTTTAGGTCAACAGGGACAATTTCTGCTTGTCCTTTTCCAAACGTTCAATAACAAGCCAAAGTGCAATGACTTACTGTTTTCTTCCAGTCAAGAAGTAAAAGGCTCATTTTATTCTTTATACAACGTAATCATAGAATGCTCAAGAATGGCCTAGGGTAGAAAATGTATTGAGCTAGATAGAACTTAGCAATTTAAGGAAAACTACTGTTTTTGTCCTGTAAAAATGAAAGAGATGATTGAAATTTAAGGTATTAGGAGGGAAAAGAAATTGAATTCTCAAGATTAACTTTTTAAAGGATCCAAAGTTAGTTGCATTTTTCTCTTCTTTTGAAAAGTTATATTTCTGTCTTACTGAAAGAAAATGAAATCTTTAAATTCTGATTTATGAAGAGAATAAATATCTAATGTAAACAATTTATGTACAGATAAAATGCATTCTAAATCGATTCCTTGAACATGACACTGATTTGAAGATAAAAAGAAAGTATCCTAGGTTAATACATTCAAGGTAATTGTAATTACAATTTATACTTTATGAAAGAAACCATGTTTATTTAATATATGCTACTGGGTATCTGCTTTATAAGTAAATTTATGCATATATATATATATATATATATATATATATACATATGTACATTCATGGGCATTTGGTTCATTATCCTATCTAGAATAAAGATAAGATTAAGGCAAATGTGATCATCACAAATAAGTTGACCAGAAGAAATTGGATGTCTGTAACTTCTCATTTCATTCATCCTCGCTTGCTGTTGAAGCTCTCTGAACTTAAGCAAAATACTTTTCTCTTGTTTCTGTGTTTCTCAAGTACACAGAGGAGTCATTAAGTGGTTTTTCTACTTTCAAGAAGGGCACAGATGTCCTGTAGGTCAACTTTTATAGTACTCACAATGCTGCTACTTTTTTTTTTTTTTTTTTTTCAGAGTGATCTGTGCTGTCTGGGCCTGCCTTGCAGTTGAACCTGGATTTGAAACTGACAACTATGAACGAATAGGAAAATGTTGCAGCAGGAGCTGCCACGTCTGAAGAAAATTCAAAGAAAGGTCTATTCGGGCAGGTAATGGTTCACAGCTCAATCACAAACAAGACATAGCTTCTTATCTTCTGAGTCCCTGTAGACTACATGGATTTTGAAATTAAATACACACACACATTTACAATAAAAAAGTACAGTGCACCAGGCAAATATTGCATAATGCCCTAAAGAGTTTTAGAGATAGCATCCTATAATTAAACACATTTACATATCTGTACCCAAAGGGTATAATAGTCATATTAAAAGGAATATATTGCAACTATAACCTTTATTGTGGCAGTTTGGGTTTTGTTTGCAAAATGAATCAAATATCTTTAAAAAATTATGTTTTCAGAACTTCATATATTGCTATGTGGATATTATAAACTTGTATTCAGAAAATATTTTTGTGAGTCAAATTTGTCCAGGTAACTAGGTAGGCTTGGAAACAAGATATGGGTGAGAGAAAAACATAATATGGCTTTTTGGTTTCACCTAAGTTTTCAGAAATCTAAGGTTTGGATTTCCATTGAGAGAAGGCTTGCTACATGAGGAGTTAGTGCATCTTGTGAAAACCTTCTGATAGCGCATTAGAGGAACCGATTGGCAATTACAACTTTATTATAATGGTTTCATTCATGCTGTGTCTCTAGACTGAAATCCTTAGAAGGAGGAATGGTGTCTTACATTCACATTCTGTGCCCCCAACTTTTGCTTATAATACTAGAAAACTAATTTCTAATTTCTAACTAATTTGTAACTAATTTCTCCACAAATTTTAGGGAAATAAACTAAACATTTTATAAATCTCATTTATGTGTGCCAGATTACATTACATTTACTCCTCAGTCCATAAAAAGTGTTCATTACAATGACACATATTTACTATACGTAGATGTGAAAAGCTAGTACAGAACCTCATATTGAGTTCTGGTGCATGATCAGTTGGGGATCTAAGATGGATGCAACAAAAAAAGTTACAATCATCACATGTACATTCATTAAAAATATGGTGAAATTAATTTGTATTAATATTTTCTAAAATTAGCATTCATCATACCTGACTCCTACTTTTCACATCTGCTAAGGAAAAATAAAAGAATGACAGCATACACCACTGCTCTGTAAAATGCTTGCAAGGGCAAAGTTGCTTCAGATCAATATTGTTTAAAAGAGCCCCGGAAAAGGAATAAATGGAATTTGCTTACAAGATGCTTTGAATATGCTGCAAGATGGAAAACAGCATTGCAGAAAGGAAAACAAGCTTTCTAAGGTTGTGAACTAATGCTTTATAGAAAAGGAATGTTGATAATTAAATATGTAAGTAGATAGGCTTAAAAAGAAAAACTGAAAGGTTTTGACTAGGAAAGTCCATTACGAATGCCTAGGCATGAGTATAAAGGAAATAGTCTGTAAAATTTAAATTTAGTAGTTGTGTTTCATTCTAATTTAATAGATAGAATTCATTAAGACATTATAGTATCAAATAAGATATGCTTTTAAATTTCAAATCTGTAATCACATTGACCATGCAGCAAATTTCACTGGACAGTGAATTGTCAATATGGGATACTACATATTTTCTAATATTTGAAACATAAAACTGATTTAAAAGAATCTCAGCCTAATTGACTTTCTTGGAGTGGAAGGATGGCAAAATCTGATTGCCTTTATATTCTGCCTGGGTGGCATGATCTTTTTTGCTTTCATACATGAGGTTATTTTCTTTGCATTTCAGTTTACACTTTTATCTCTGACTCTCCTTGATCCAAGAATTCTTGACTCAAATCTTTTTCTACTATACTGTAGATAATAGTTTTTAGCATTCACTCAGCTATTTATATAAGAAAGAGATAAAGGTTAACTTTGCAAGAAATAAAGCAAAATCTGCTTCTTATATCACTCCATCTCTCCCTTCAATCTTACATTTTATTAACTTTTCATTCATTAATTAACAATATGACTTTAAATTGCCTAATTGTTGTTGTTGTTTTCAGACAGGATCTTGCTATGTAGTTCAGGTTTGCTTTGAACTCACTTTGTAGCCCAGACTGGCCTCAAATTCACAGCAATCCTCCTGCCTCAGCCTCCTGAGTGCTGACATTACGGGTGTGTGCCACCATGCCTGGCTTCATATTGCTTTTGACTGACTGAAATATCCTTTTTTATTATCTTGGGACATTTTTGTGCTATAAACTTGTGTAGTAATAATGTCACTTTAACATGTTATAAATAGTATTGTACATTGGATTTTTTTATATTCACTATTCTGTTTCTCATGTTCAATATGTTTACTTCAGGCTTCTCAAATATTTACTCACCTGTCTAACATATATTCCCACACACACATACATACACACACACACACACAAGAAATAGTTTTAGTATTGATGGGAGTTGATGATTCATAAGTATTCTAACTAAATTCAATAATGATACATATCTAAAGTGTAGAAAGTACCTCACAGTAAAGAATAAAAATAAGAAATTATCTTTTTTAAAAGGACATTTTAATTTAAAAAAGTGGAACATACATATGAACTATAATTCTCTACAAGCATAAATAATAAAATTATATTCCCTCCCTGATTTTCAACCTTATCTCAAAAGTCATTGATAGTAACACAAATAAGAAAAAAAACAAGCAAACAAACAAGCAAACAGACAACCAAAAATATATCTCTGAGCTCTCTGGGAGAATGGGGTTACTGAGATTTCCTAAAGGTAAAACTGCAATATATCCTTGAGGTGATAAAAAGTCTTACTTCTAAATAAGAAAGGAATTACTGATTATGCTATGATAGAAGCATGAGAAAATAAAAATGAAATACTACCTATAACATTTACAAATACATATCACATTGCATATGAAAAGGGATTTTAAAGGAATAAATTTTGCAAATTTTTCTGTATGAGTTACATGAGTTTTAGAAGTTAAAATTCTGGAAAAGTAAAAGTAGGAAGAGTGTTCTTGATAGTTTGATAATGAAAAATCTGAGCAAACTGGATATCATCTCTTTTTCCTGAAACAACTATATACTTGCAATTACAGAATATTTTAGTCTGCTTTTCTATCACTTGGACAGTATACCCAGCGACCACTACTTAAAGGAAGAGAGGTTTCATTTGATTCATAGTTTTGGGCTTTCAGTCTGTGTTTGGCTGAACCCAAGGCGGAAATAGAAATGCATAGCAGAGGAAAGATGTTCACCTCATGAGGGCCCAGAAGTAGAGTGAAAAGAAAGGAGCCAGATGCAAGGATACACCCTTGCAGGTCACATGCTCAGTGACCCACCTCCCAGCAGGCATCACTTCTTGACAGAACATTTAGCTAGTGATTGATAGATGAATTCACTGATGAGTAGCATCCTATGATCCAATCACTTTCCCAATAATGAGACTTTCGAAGTACATTTTATATCTAACACACAATATTTCACCCCTGGCCCTCTAAAGACTTATATACATCTCATTATGCAAAATGAATTTAGTGCATCTGTAAGTGTTGCCAAAGTCTGAAGAGGTACACCATTGCTGAAAAATCCAAACCTAAGGTCTATTTTGATACACAAGGCAATCACCCAACTAGCTGTAAGCCCCCTCTAAAAATAAAAAAAAAAAGAATGTTAAATACTTCAACATAAAATAGCACAGGGTAACATTCACATTCCACAGTGAAAAAGGAATCAGAAGAAAATAACACCAGAATTCAGCAGGGCAGACATTAAATCTTCAGTGACCCAGGATACGTTGTGAGATGTGAGCTTTAGAAGCCCTGGGCAGCTCTACTCCTGTGGCCTTACCTGTTATAACCCATATAGCCTCTCTCTTGAGCTGATCCTGCTTGCTGCTTGCAGCTTTCCTCAGAAGATGTTCCACATTTCTAAACTCTCCAATTTACTGGTGTCCGCATACCACCTTTAGCTTCACTTTCATAGCTTCACTCATGGCCCTCTTAGGAGCATATTTCTTGGCCTCCCACGCTGAAAAATGGGTGGAAATCTCTCTGACCCTCCAACACTTGTATTCTATATGCTTAAAAACAACACAACATGATTGTCACCAAGGTCTGCCACAGCTCATCCAGTAGCCTGACCTTCTTGGATCATGGCTACAGCAGCCTCTGAATGCCTCAATGGCTTAACCCTGAATGGCTTTGCTAGGCTGCCATTAAAGACAAATTGCTCTGGTTTTTCTTTTTCCTTTTCAAAACAAAACGTTTCAGAGGATTTACACTTGTATATCCTTAAGCCTGTAAGCATACTGACAGGACAATTCAGTGCCTCCAAGCCTTCTTTTCTATTGTCACAGTGCAATGTACTTGGTTTCTTTCTATTGCTAATTTTTCAGCAATCACATTCTCTTAGCCAAAACTTTGTAGGCCCTTCCTTTCTGATGAAGCTACAAACTTTTGAAATGATTCAGCTCTTCTCTTTTTCTCCTGAGTTTTACTCTAGATCTTACTAAAAGGAGCCAGCAATATTTATGCCTCAGACTGAAATTTGTGCTGCCTTGAGATTTTCTTTGCCAACTTAGCTAGCCCACCACTTTTAATATCTGTGTCCCGCAAAGTCTGTCCATGGGAAACATGTAGCCAGAATGCAACACGCACAGCCTCTAGTCCAACCGCCAAGAGTCCTTGATCTCATCTGTAACTTTATGAGGTTGACTTTTACTCTCTGAACTACTGTCAGCCTGGTTGTTATGGTTTGTGTCTAGATGTATCCCCAAAGCCACATGAGGTTATAGGGGAATGGGCTTTTCAAAAGCAACTGAATCTAGAGTTTGTGATCGGTTCATTGTCTAGTGTTGCAATTCGGGGTGTGAGTGCTACACCCACCCTAAGGCAGGTAGCCTGCACACAGTATAAGAGAGGAGAAGAGGTATGCTCCTCTCTGTTTTGCTCTTCTTGTTTTTGCTGTCTTTTACCACCAAGAACTGTTGTTCCATTGCCATGGACCACGCTGCTTTGAAGCCAGCCGATTTTGGACTAACACATCTACAAACCGTAAGCTAAATAAACCTTTCCTCTCTTAATTTTG